TATATTTATCTATTTAACAATTATTCTTGGCAAGGACGTTACTAAGGGTGAATAATATAAATGTACAAAAACAAATATTATTATTCATCATCATGTTTTGACTAATGTAAGTAATGTTTATAATTATTAATTATAGCAACTACAGCATATGCATGCTACTTACCGCCTACATACTCTATAACGTGTGCAACATAGCATCAAAAGCATATATAACTACGCAGATCTATGTTTATAAAACATGCATGTTTATATAATTATTATAATATATATAAATGAGCATGTGATGCTGAATAAAAAAAGATACAGAACAGGATAAAAATAATTTTTTTTGTTCATGCTTGAGCAAAAACTAAATCAGAATGTGAGTATATAAAGAGGCACAAAAATGGACGAAATCAAAGAAATCAAACAACTATTTGGTAGTGCTGTTTCTGTTAGGTTGTTTCATTTTATTACCGGACGGTGCTTTTGGAGTAGATTGACTATCAGCATTAAATGTATTCGACGTTGAATTATTAAAACGTTTTGTACTACTATTGCTTGTTGTTTGTTGTTTTATTCCAAATTGTTTACAAAGCGCTTCATGATCAAGACGATCTGTTAAACGCACATCTTGATGACAATATGAACATTTTGATGTAAATAACTTATCTTCATTTGTATTGGTTGTTGTTGCTGTTGGTGGTGTTGGATGAGTTCGATTTCGAAAATTTGTTGTCGTCGATCTATTTTTACGATGTCGACATATAGCTTCATGTTGTAAACGATTTTCAATTGTTGTTAATGGCTGAAAACAATATTGACATGCTTGAACTTTTTGTTCATTATTATTATTATTATTCATTGCACGTCTTCTTAAACGATGAGCATTTATTGTTGTTGGTTTTGCTTGTTGATAAACATAATTTTCTTCAATATTTTCCTCATCACTATCTTTATAATCAAAACGTGATGATGATGTTGTTCGTTTTTGTCTTGGATGATGTCCTAACCATTCAAAATGCATTTCATTAGCATGTTTAGATGATGATGGTGATGGCATATGATTAACATGTATTCGTGTACGATTTGTTGTTGGTGGTCTTTGTTGTGAGGCACTACGTAAACGACTTGATGTTGGATGTGAAGTTTGTCGTTGATTTACATTTGGAAAATGTATATCTTGAGAATTATTATTATTATTCAATGAATCATTTAAATCCATATTATGCCAAAAAAGATCATCATTAAAAAATTTATCAAATACAACACGTGTTAACATTTCAAACATCATAAATGGATTATCTGTATTTGAACGTTGTTGAAATGTTGATGGAAATTTATATTCTGATGATGTTGATGATTTATTATCATCATCAGTTTCAAATGGCCAATTATTATTCCATTTTGGTCGAGTTTTTGTTGTAAAACGTGCTTGACTAGAACGATGTGTTGGTGGTGCTGAATCAAAATCGAAATCATCTGATCCTATAAAGAAAGAAAAAACAACGACGAATAAAATAAATTATTGTGAATATGCGTTTCTTTTTGTTTTGTTTTTATATTTACCTAAAGTTGAATTATTTCGATCGTGTTCAATATCATCATCACCAATTCCATCATCGTCATCATCATTATCTGATGAAATATGACTATTTGTTGTATCGAAAAACGAAGAACCTGGCGAATGAAAATTTCTACGAAATGGATCAAAAAATGTATTTGTAAAATTTGAATTTCGTTGATGAAAATTTGTGAATGGTTCTTGACCCATACGATGAAAACGAAAGCGTGCTGAACGTGAAGATGTTGAACCATCATTTGTTGCTGATGTATGAAATGTAAAATGTGGTTGACCGGGTGCATGAAATGATGTTTTAAATGATGATGTTTCTTGTTTATGTTGATGTGAAGCAGATTTCGTTGTTGTTGTTGTTGAATGTTTTTGTTGTTGTAAATCATGTGTTCGACGTTTATCTAAATCACTCAATGTTTCATATGCTTTACTTATTTCTTTAAATGTTTCTTCAGCTGTTGTAGACGAATTTTTATCTGGATGATATTGAAGTGCTTTTTTTCGATAGGCTTTTCTAATTTCATCATCTGTTGCTGTTGGTTTAACACCCAAAATGGCATAACAATCTTTGGCTACCATTGTTTAGATGTCTGTTTGTTACTTTTATGACTATTCCGATCACTATTTCAACAATCTCGTTGATGATACATCTACAAATAGAAAGAAAAAAACAACACACGTGATTTGATTATAATCGAAATAAACGAAAATCTATTGATTAAAAAGAAACATATATAGAATAGATGAAAGCCTACATAATTCTTTTATAGAAAAAGAAAAGAGAAGGCTTGTTAATTAATACTGAAGGTTAAATAAAAAGAAAAAAAAACCATAAATGTATGTAGACGAAAAGAAAAAAAAAATGGATAAAAAGAAACGAAACCATGCATAAAAGTATGCACGCATAAATAGAACACACGTACTTATAAAATACTTTAGTCTTGGTGTGATACTCGTGATACAAGAGTCAAGGCTTATAAACAATCAAACAACAATATCAATAACAATCTCATTATCAAAATGATCCTTACATACAGAAGCTTAACAAAACGACAATGGTATATCATATTCTGCTCAAATAAAAACAATGATGCCCTTAATAAGACAATCGTGGGGATTGAGTACAACACTAGATAATGGAAAAGAGAAGAATACAATCATAGCACAGCCATGATCTCTGATGATGGCAAATGGGCTCGAAACAAAGTGAAGAATAAGTTGAAAGAAAAAGAAGGATATATGTAATAGAATACGCTTGTCATATGATCAATGGAACTCATGGGATCTAAAGCACAGCGATTAGCCTAACTTATCTGTATAGTACGCATCTTTTCTGTTAGCTCTTGGTGAACTTCTCTCTTTTCTTGTCTTTCTCTTCTCTTTTTCCTTTCTTTCTTTCGTTCCTAACCATCCATCCGGTGCTCGAGGTCAACCTAAGCATGTCCGCCCTTGGCTGATACTGATGGTGGCTTGGCAAAATTCCGTTTTTTCTCGCTTGATTCTCTCGCTCTCTAACTGCGGTTATGACATGCCCAAATAAATGGAGGACGATACATGAAAAAGAGCAGAACCACTTTATATATACAGATTTTGTTCGCTTTTATTTTCTTTCTTTTATTTTTTTTTTGCTCTTTCTCTTTCTAACTGATTATTACATAATCTTAAAGTGCATCTTTTTTTACACGCGTATACTAGTGAAATTTAACAAAAAACGTAACACCATAGAATTTTTTTATATTCTAAAGACAAATGACAAGCAAAAAATGAAAAAGAATAATGATAATATTACTTGTGAAAATAATTATATCAGTGTAAAAGTCAAACGATCGATTTACATTTTTCGACAACAAATGGAAAAAAATCTCGTACTTTTTCTTACTAACCACATTTCAGCCTAACGTTTAGTTGTTGTTCTTCTCTTCTCACCCACTATGTGTTGTTTAAACTAAGGTCATATGAGTGAATGAGTGAGTGACAACAAACCAGACCTTTTTTCCTACAGCATTGTGCTATAGTAAAAAAAAAGAATCGAGAAATGAGAAGAAGAAAGCAGTGAGACAGACAGAATAGAAGAAAGTCAGTCTCAGCACATACATTCATTTGTGCAACTCAATCGAAGACGACGATGAAGTAGTATGATGATCGACGACACAACTGTTGCTGCAACGGATGTTATTTTGTGATTGGAAGAAGAGAATAGATTTCTTTTTTTTCTCCTTCACATATTTTTCTTTTTGCTTCATCTTTTCGTTTATATATATATATTTATTTATTTGTGCAACCATAAAACAATAGTGAACCAAAAAAAAAAAAGATACATATATATATATATATATATTGTTTTGCTTTAAAATTGATGGAATTATCAGGTTTCTTTTTAATGTATATTAATTAGTTTGAAGAGAAAAAACTGAAAAAAAAAATCGAATAAATAAATGATTATTACGTCATATGTATTGTAGTTTGATGAACGATATCAGACGATGTTTATCGTCGCTTGTTATAAATACATAAGCTATAAAAAGAGAAACGATACAGTAGATGAGCACATGCCAAGTACTTCGATAAATGTATATTGTCAAAAATGATTGATATTACTCTTTCGTTTCTCTTACTCACTTCACACATGATTGCGTCAACGGCAAAACAAAAAATGACTTTTTCATTCTCTATTCTCCCCTTTTTTTTTTTATTATGATTGATAATAATTATATGAGGCTCACATACACCGTTTGACAAAACCAACGAGGTATATTCATGTTTTTAACCGTATTAAGCAAATGAAAGGAAATAATAGGTCATACAATTACTTTCAGTTGTCATGACAGCTATTCATTATATAAATTAAACATCGATAGAAATTCAATTATTTTTATTTTCTTTTAAAAGAAAAAAATTTTCTTTTCGAAGAAACATAAATTTAAATGATTTATGAATGTTTTAGTTTGTAAAACGTGACATCTATTGAAAAAAGAAATCTTCTATTTCTTGATTAAATTTCTTTTGTAAAATATTAATATAAAGATTAATTAATGAAAATATGTTCTATTTATTTAGTTATTTATTTTCTATATAGAGATATTAGTAAATGAAATAGCCTTGAATTGTTCAGAGTTTTTATATACTACTGACCTGATCAAAAAACGAGTAAACGTCTTGAGGAGGCACCAAAAATTAAATTATGGTTGTTGACACATTTTGTCGTTATGCTTATATTCATTTCTTAAAAAAAATTGATTTTCTGTTTGCTTTGAACCATAATCGAAACATTATTTTATGTTTTTTTTTTTTAGATCTATTTTTTCCTTGTTTTTTTTCTTATTATATTAATATATACATATGTAAATCATTGTCATGGAACAGTGCACTATTGATACTTATCAATGTTATATATTATTGTAATTGTCTTCTATTCTATTTTGTCAAGTAAATTTTTCTTAATTCAATGGTTGAACCAGATAAAAAAGGTTTTTGTAGAAAAATAAATTTTTTGTTCTTTTAAAAAATAATTTCATTTAGATCATAATAAAACAGCTGATCTTGAAGATACAGTTCGAAATCTTCGAGAAGAAAATGCCAAACTTTTACAATTACTTCGTTCACGTAAATATTCTCAAACAATACATACTTAGTTTTTTTCATTTATTTTCTCTTTTAATAGAAGGACTTTTACTCGATTCTTCAACAAATCAAAATGGAAAATCTAGTGATACAATATTTCCAATATCAAATCAACAAAAAGATTCAACAAATCTCACATTTGATCAGTCTGATATAACATTAACAACAAATTCAATAAATACTATAAATCAAATCAATCATCAACATATTAATAATCATGGATCAATTAATCAACAAACATTTAATGGACAAACTGTACATGGTAATCAATCAAATATAACACCAAATTTTAATACAGTTATACAAACAACATCACAACCATTTGTACAAAATAGTTCAAATACACTTGTACAAAACAATACGAATTTAATTCAGCCAATTAATTTAGTTAATTTTAATAATGTTAGTTTAGATTCTATACAATCATTTCTTGCTTCACAAAATAGTGTTGTTTATTTATCTCAAACATCATCTTCATCATCATCATCAACAACAACAACAACATCATCATCAACAAATTCTATTATAACAAATACAAATGTTAATGAAGCATTACCATCAAATACACATAGTATTTTACCTTCATCATCATCATTATTAAGTGAACAACATCAAATATCTATTCGACCAAAATTATCATTATTACATCAACATCAAGAATTAGTACCTGTTATACCAAAAATAAAACCTGAACATTATGAAAGTATCACGAAACAATTATCATCATCATCATCAACAACAATAAATAATGATACAACGAATTTAATTGATAATGATTCAAATGATTCAAAATATAAATATCAAAGACCTATTCGTCCTAAACCATCATCAAGAACGAATTCTTTAAAAGTAAATTAAATTCATTTTTGATAATAGGATTTGCTTAAGACACCTGCCTCCTTTTCAAAACCGATTATCATGAAACTTTCTGAATATATATTCCATTAATGAAAAATACTTTCCAAAATTTCAAACTTTATTATTCAAGAGATTTCCAAGAATTATAATGCAAAATAGAGTTTTCGAGCTATTCTCATCTCAAAGTGAACTCCATATCACTTCAGGCGAGGAAAAGTATTTTTAATTTTTGGAATGATTTCTTTTGATATTATAGAATTCCAAAGAGAATAGATATATATATCAGATAAAAAAAGGTGTAGTTCATTAGAAGCAACACTTTAAAAGCAATTTATTCGTAATGTCACAATTTACACAATAAATCTATGTCGTAAAAAACGTGTGAACATTTTTGTTTTGTGTATATATTTGAAGAACTTTTGGAGATGAACATAAAATATAGTTATATCACATACCGATTAAAAACCCATCTTGACTCTTATGGAGTGACCTTGTAGCTACAGGTAGCGGCCTTTTCGCCGCAGGACTCTAGATACTTATCATGATTTCTGAAGAAATATTTTTAAATTGGAAGTCGTTCTTATGAGTTTTCAAACTAGACACTGTAATAGGTGATAGATATATGTTTACCGTTTTTGGAAAAATCAATTTTTTTATTGAGTAGCGTGGAGACCTTCAATCATGTGAAATATTTGATACAAAGCATATTTATGTTATATATTAATTTATGAATACTATTTCTTTTTCTTAAATGAATTATATTTTCATTTCGAAAACTAGTGAATCGAAAGTTATTCATAATGATGATTCTGATTACCATCATGAGAAAGTCTTCTAGGTCTTTATATGCCGGTGTTCTAGAAGAATAAAGTTTTTCGTGAGGAATTTTTTTTTTATTTGTTTAGATTATAGAGCACATTGAATAGTCTAGAAAGCAGTAACTGTTTCTGTTTGAAATTATTTTCTATTTGTTTTTCTGCAGGTTCTTTCAATTTTCGTTTCTCTTAAATATTCATTTTTGAAAAACCAAGTTTTTGATCAAAAGACATTTTGTTTAAAAAGAAACTCTCGATAAAGTGCAGTCAACTCGTATATATTTTAAAACTTTTGAAAAGAAACTTATTTAGATTAACAAATAGCGTAGTGATTTATCATTCAACTTATTTTTTAGGGTCTTTAAAGAAAATGTCTTCACCTGTCTGGAATAAAAAAAAAACTGGGATAAAATTTCTAAGCTCATATTCGAAAAAGTGCACAATGCACTAATCCTAACCCATAGCATTCGACTGCTTGGTAACCCTTTGAAGTGAGCCGAAAATAAACAAATATTTTGTCTCAAAACTTTCTAATCCATCAGACGTATATTCAGATGCATAGGCAAGAATCTTCCATGAGGGTGCATATCAACAGGACAATAAATTTTTGTTTTGAGAAACGGTTTTCTATTCGTACTCTCCTTCAAGTGGGAAGTGCACAAACATCCTTTACACCATTCCTGCATAGATTAAAGAAGTTTCTCTTGATTACATTGGAGAGTGTGAAGTGCCGTATATAAATATAAATATTCTAATAACATTAGCTATAGCTGACAGATATATCCTATATTAATGTTGTTCTGCGATAACTGGCAAAAGTCCACTTCACTTTCGTCCATATTAGGGTGAAGATTACGGAGATTTTTTCTTCCAAACGTTGTCGAACTTTCTACAAAGTTATTTACAATCTCTTGGGAATTCGTAATAGAAAGGAAATTTCAGTAGTTTTATCTCTACTTCTTATCGATATTCTTCATTTGTTCATTCAATGAAACCTTATTAATATATTCTAGTCCTATAAATCTGTTGTTGTTAATAAAACAAAATCATCATCATCATCAGCACCAACAACAAATGCTCATACATCGTCATCATCATGTATTAATAATAATAATAATTCTCCAACATTATCAATATTTTCGTCTCCAATATGTTTATCTCCGTCATTTACAACAGCAACAAGTTATTTATCTCAACCATCATCATTAGATCATCAAATTGATTTATTATCATCATCACAATTAATTAATTCAAAATCTTTAGATTCATCAACAACAAGTCTTCCAACACCAGCAAATAATAAATCTAGTAAAAATCGTATACGTAATTGTAATAAAAAAACATCTTCTATATCATCAACGATTCTATCGTCAAATAATTCTACACTTATACCAATAGCACCAAATAATAGTCGACCGTCAGCACCAGCAATAGTAAATGTTCAACGTTTAGTAACATCAAATAATTCAATAAGAAAACGTACAACAACAAATAAAAAACAATCAAAACGTAATACAAAAACATTTGTTCATTCTCACAGTGAAAGTATTTTACAACAAAATTCTTCATCACCCATAAATACATTTGCTGAATCTATATCGGGTTTCTTAGAAAGTTTTGATCAAGAATTAATTGCATCTAATTTTCTATCACAATCAACAACAAGTAATTTATTAACAAATGAAAATAATTCAATCATTTCATCAGATCATATTGATTTACAACATATTGTTAATAATAATAATACTGTACAAGGACAACAACAAGATGCTTATCAATCATTAACAACAACAGCAGCATCAATATCAATGCCAACACTTGATGAATTTAATAATCGACTTGAAAATGAAACAATATTAACAAATCAAACAATAAATGATTTACAAACAACACATGATTATAATGTTGAAAATGAACAAATAACATCATTTATGAATGAAGAAGATATGCGTTTTGTTGAAATGAATTTTGATGAAAATATTTTTTTAAAGCAATTTGATTTAGATGATCCAGGTATTAAATTAAATATTCATTCAGATCAAAATATATTTGCTAATATTTTAACTAATAATAATCATAATAATAATGATATTTTACAAATAGAACAACAACAACAACAACAAAATCAAACTAATGAACAATCAATAACACATCAAAATCAACATCCTACACCTCCTCCTCCTATTTATCCAGGTTCATCATTGATTAATAATAATGTTTTTACAACTCTTGTTCCACTTGGCTCACAACAACAAACATTAAAAACAAATGCATTTAATTATCATAATAGTACAATGTCTTTATTACCAGAAGAAGGTGTTCAATTGACGTAAGTAGATTATTAAATAACGTTTTGTTAATTTCGATAATTATAGAATCGTTTATTTATTTCGCTTAGTTATGATTTCTATTGAAAATTTCCGTGTACTAAATCGAAAGAGGAATGTACCGTTTCAGTCTATTGACCAATGACTCAGCATAGTTAATGTACATTCAAGTATTGGAATGCATCGCTACAAAAAGAGCAGAATTTCGTCGAGTTGATGTCTCAATGTTGAAGCAAACACGAATGCCATTGTAGTCGACGACGCACTTCTCAATATCTCCACCGCTACTACACATCATTAGATTGGAGATTAACAACTAGAGTTTGCGAGGATGTTTTTCCTTGGATTTCACTATTAACCTAATGAGGAAAATATAGAATAGATTTGGAATTTGCGTTTGAACCGAATCAATATGAAAAATTTACAATTCGGTGACTGTTATCGAAACATAAATTATTTATATTGTTTTTGCCCAAAATCAAAGTCAAATACTAAGAATTTGGTTCCAAATCCTAAACGTCTTTCCTATTGGTCTCGTACCTCTAGCAAAGTAGATCAGTGTTGTTTTCATCTTATCTTACCAAAACTTTTGAAATTTGAGTCATTCGAGATCAAATTCTAAGGTTTTGAGTTTTTGTCAATCCTATTTCTGTGTGAATAAAAAAAAACAGTCTAACATGCTTTAGACTTGTGGCATACTGCTAAAGAGTAATATCTATTTTATTGAATTTTTGACTTTACAATACTTTGATGACTTGTTACTTATCTGTAAATCTATCTATAGACAAAGTATGAGGTTAAAACTTTGCATTGTAATTTTTTCGGCAATGTCTTGTTGCGATTAAAAAATTCAATAAAAACCTTATAACTCTTCAGCCGTACATTATGATCTAAATACCTTTAGATTTTTCTTAATTTTACGGAAAATTGCAGTTCCTTTAAATTCAATCAGAACGATATTTCACAGTTCAACATTTGTTCTTGTCGTTATTCATTATACCATAGAATGTAAACAATGAGAATAATAGCTAATTCTTTCATACTATTGCATTTGATCGTATCTCATATCTTTCTATAAAACGATTTCATACTAAGGAAAGAATCACCGCAACTCTAATTCATCGTTTGAGCTCACAAGAAGGTCTCTGTAAGACTAGAAAATTCTTACAAGGATTCGTCTACATAGCTTTCTGGAGCCGAATTATACTGGTTTTACTGAATTTTCAACACATTTTTTGGGTATGTACTGAAATAATGAAAATTCACGAAAACAGTTATATTTCTGCTTCAGAGACTCATACGTACGAACTCTATAAAGATTTTTCAAGTCTTATCCAGACTTTCTTCTAGACGGAATATGAACGCAACCGGCGAGTTACAATTCGAATAGTTCTCTTGTAAGAAAATCAATCTGTTCTATTGTTGTTACAAATTATTTTTGTATTACTACAAGACGAAATTGAATATTTCACTAATTAAAACTTTTCTAAAGTTTGTTGAAGAAATCTTGTTTTCAAAACTATAAAACATTACTTTTTAGTTTAAACTATTTATTTTTCTTGAAGTGCTCGTCATATTGAACCAAGTCAAGTAGCAACATATGAATCCGCAAAATATCAAGATATTCTTGATGATTTAGTTATGGTTACAGATCAAGATGCATTACGACATGCACAAGCTACAGCTGCCAATGATCCATCTGTTGTATCAACAGATTATTCATTTGCATTACTTGAAGCTGCTAATGAAATAATGAAAAATACAAATATTCATATTGTTGAAGAAAATTCAACAGCATTTACTGATTTACAATATTTCTATCCTATTCAACAAGAACAAACAAATTTAGAAAAACAATTAGAAACTTATCAAAATAAAGAACAAAATGAACCTGAACAACAACAACAACAACAACAGCCGATTGTTATTCTTGAAAAATTACACTCAGAAATATTAACATCAACAAATCTAACAGAAAATGTTCTTAATGATTCAATTAGTGATTTATTACAATATAATCAAACACATTCACCTATTGATCATGAGCGATCAACAATAGAATTAACAACACCATTAAAAAATCTTTCAAATAATTTATTAACAAAATCACCTAATAATTGTAACAATAATAATAATTCTCCGTTATCATTAACAAATACATATGATAATGATCAAACTCTATCATATTCTCCTATATCAGATATAATAACAATATCAACAAGTTCTCTTCAACAAAAATTACAATCAATTGAATCAATGATAAAATCACCTGTTATATTTGAACCAATATCATCACCATCAAGTCCTTCATCGCCAATTCCTAAAGAAATTATTCTTGATTCAGGTCATTTAAATGAATTAAATTTTGATAAAATTAATTCTTTAAATAATAATAATAATAATGATGATGATGATGAAATTGAAGAATTATTACGTGATACAACAAATACTAATAATAATCAATATGAAATTATTGAAAATCAAGGACAAACATCCATAAAAAATTCAATTATTATTGATAATATTGATGAATTAATTGAAATAATTGAACCTTCATTAACAACAAGAAATCCTAAATGTATAGAATTATTTGAACACACTTTTCTACGTTATAAACAAAAATATTATTTAAATTTAAAACATCAACAAAATTTAACATTAAAAAATTTAACAATTCCAAATGTTAAATTAAAACTTCCAACAGAAAAAATTGTCATCAAAGAACAATCACTAGAACAACATATTGAACAAGAATCTGTTGAACGTCCACCATTAAAAATAACTATACGAGCAAAATTATCCGGAACAAATTTACTTGAAGATAAAATTCAAAATAAAACAATTCGTAAAATTAAAAAGAAAAAGTCTCATCATCATGAAAATAAAAAAAAATCTAATAATAATAATAATAATGATAATAATCAATTTGAAACTGAATATGCTGGTTTAACACGATTTGAACAACCATTAGCACAATTATATCATCAACCATCACCACCAACATCTGACGAGCCACCAATACCTAAAACTGAAATCTTAACATCATCACCACTATTATTAACTTCACAACAAAATGATTTACAAACATCAACAACAAATATTCATTCTGGTTTTATGATTAATGAACAAACACCACCATCAAGTATAATATCTATTGAACATAAACAAAGTCCACCACCATTATTAATTAGTCAAATGAAACATGAAAAATTAAAAACAAATTATTCACATTTACTTGATTATGATGATAATAATAATACCAATGATCATCATCATCATCATCATCATCAAAATAATAATACATTTATAACACCACCACCTGAAATTGATTTGAATTTAATACAACAAAAATCTAACACATATGAAAATTTTTGTCAATTTTCAAATAGTCCAAATAAGAAAAAATCTAATCGTAGAAAATCAAGTGTTACAAGTAGTACAAGTAGTAAATCATTAACAAATCTTGATTATGCTATTGATACACAAGAACTTGAACCTGTTTCACCAACACCATTATTAACAATGAAACAAAAACATTTACATAATCAAACATCAGCATCTAATTATAATGATACATCACCACCTTATTGTGAACATCAACAACAAAAACATGTTAAAGAATATCATTCAAGAAAATCATCAAATCGACCATCAAAAACAACATCATCACAAAATTATCAACAACCACGTTCATTATCAAATCATAATTATCGAACATTACAAGAACCACCATTAATGCCACCGATATTACCTGTACCACCACCACCAATACATATTGATCCATATGCTCAAACTTATCATCCTTTTGCACCACGTGTACCACCGCCACCGCCACCATTTTTTAATTTTCCATTTCCACATCCATTTCTTAATCCACATGCACCAACAACATCAACTCATTTTCATCCACATTCTATGAAATATCATCATCATATTCATCCATCTCATATATATCCACAACAATATCCTTATCATGCTCATTTGCAAAGGCAACAACAGTATAATAATTCCAATTATATGTGTAAGTTCATAATTGTTTTTATGTTTTAAGTGCCATCGTTTAACTAGTTCTTGAGATATCGAAATTTTACTGGATTTTACAAGCTCTTCAGATCATGTGAAAAATCGACTTTCCAGTATTGACCTTCAATTTTGTATGAACACAGTTTTCAATGGGATCAGTTCATTGGACTAATATGTAATTTTTCTAGGATCTACTATTTTGAGATATTAAATATTGGAAATTTTCTCATGTGTAAAAGCAAATTTTGTTCAGATATTGACATCTCCAGAAAGGAAATACTAGTTGTACAATCAATTTATTTCATTAAGAAACGTTTTCATGTAAAGTTTGAAGTCGAAAGTCGATCTTCCATGGGACCTCAGGAATTTGAGAAATGCACTAAAATTTCGATATCTTAAGAACGAAGACTCAGAAAACTACATCATTCTAGACTTTTCTATTACTCTCTAACACTCATAAAATTAACATTGTTTCGATCAAAGAACGATTTGACACCTGGGGAGATTATCTCGTCAGCCGAGGTAAGTTAGAGGATCGTCCACGCTACACCATACTTTCTGCGGTTAATGTTCATCATAATCATGTGAAAACATAATAATGAAAACTTAGAGAGAAAATATCCATAGGCTAAATATTGTCAAAAAGACTTCATGCTAACCTAGACACATAATTATTTCGTTAATTTTACTTTGGTTTTCACTTCTCATACATTTGCCAGCAAAGCTAATAATGTATTTGACGAGGGAAGTCCTCTAACTAATAAATCACTTTTGAGTTGTTCCTATACGCATTATGCAGATCTGAATGAACTATGAACGCTACAGAGATACTGAATTTTTACGGAGCTTTTTTTTAAATGCGTGTTGTGGTTCTTCTTTGGGACATCAGAAATGGTGATTGCTCAGATAAACTGGCAGATTTGATATTCTTATTTCAGGATAGAAACCGATCAACAGACCTTACACTTTCACAATAAACTATTTTCGTTAAAAAGCCTGTCTCTATGCAAAGTTTCAAGTCAAGATTTGAAAATCACTTTTTCTGAGGTTCCCGAGGGAGACCACAGCATTCATTTAAAAAGTATCATAAAATTGCAGTATCTTCACAGCAATAAGCCAAAAGCATGAACTCTTTATAGGGTATTCATAGCTCATTTCGATCTTCATAATGTACATAAGATCAACTTAAGTGCGATTTATCAGCTGGAGAACTTTCCTCGTGAGATCAATAGACATCATTATATCGTCACATTTCGATATCTTTTTGTATCTGTCAGTGATTCAAAACTGAAAAAACTATACTTTGTCAAATACGCTGGTACTCCAAGGATTAAAAATCCCTAATGAAAAAAGAAAAGGAGTGATTTCAGTGCAGAGAAAAGCTTATTGTTTCGTTATCATGTACCTATATTTTACCTGAGAGACGAAAATCAAATAAACAACACTTCAAATTGATGGCAAACTTTGACCATGTTTGCTTACCTCTTGAAAACCGCTTCAAGTTATTAAAAAGCACAGTAAGAAACATAAAATGGTCAGTATTAGTGATTCATGAAATAATTGTACGTCTTGACTTTAAACCAACAGATTACGAGTTATTTCTATTGTACATTCATTAGATTTGTCTAGATCGTTTCTACATTAAATTACAAAAAAGATTTTTGATTTATCAATTGAATATATATTATATTAATGAAGTTTTCTTTTGTTTTTCATTTTTAGCTTCTCGTGATCATCATTCATTCGACAGGTAGCAAATTCTTTATTCTCGCTTTATTTTCGTCTACTTTTCAAAAGCAAAAAAAAAAACAAAAAAAAACAAAATAGCAAATCATCGACTTGACAATCGATATGCGCAGATAATTGTTAGTGTATTTGTTTTTCCAGTGACTTTTCTTTTTCTATTTCTTTTTCTCTTTGGTACATATATATACGCATTAATAAATGAATTAATTTTCTTTATTGATAACCACAATGAATTAAAAACCTTTTTTTTTTTTTTTTAAAAAAAACCAAACCAAAAAAAAAATAGAAAAAGAAATATTGTGTCTCTCACTTTTCTCGCGGTTTTTTTGCATTTGTTTTTCTTTTTTTTGTAATATGTGTGAAGATTGAAATCTTTGTTAATCTCTTGGTATTATTCTTTTGTCTTTGTTTTTCTTTTTCGTATTAATACTTGATTGAAAAGAGAGTATTTTTTGGACGTATTGAGCTTTGTTTTTGTTTTCTTATACAACGATGACAACGCGAGTGTTTTGTACAGTTGAGATATTCTATTTGATTATTACACATATGTTATAAAAGTATTTCTGATCATATTTCTTTCTCATATGTGTATTAATATGTAACATTTTTTTTAGTCTTGTTTAAACTCAAAGAGCTTGCGTGCTAGTCTCCTGATGTTTTTTTTCTCGTTCCATTGTAAACATAAATACAGATTTTTGCTTTGTTCTAATGTGTCCTACAGTGCAGCTTGTTCATTGTGCTACTAGACTAGCCGTTTGCTTTTTTTGTTTTGTTGCCAATCGAACGACGAATCTCAGTAAGTGCGTATTAATGCGTACTAATAAAACGATGATGACAGCATTTGAAAAGACTAAACTTCCGAATCGAGTTGTCTATCTTCTTTCTTATCTCTGTACAAACAAATATTGTTTTCTCTTGTTTTTGTTTTTTTTTGAAAAATCTATAAATTGTTTTTTCTTTTTCTCTTGCCCTGTGTGTGATTTTTTTCTGTTCGAAGTTATTCTCTTCACAAAAATTTTTTTCTGTTCGATGTGTGCGCGCATGTGTGCCAAGCCGTACGGCTCAAAAATAAAAATCTCAATTTGGACAAATCAATATATATGATAAGACATATGATTGTATTTATTCATTATTAAATAATATTTAATAAGGATTGTTGAATAGCAAAAACTAAGTTTATGAGATCGGAAAAATAGAGAAGTAAGAATTTGTTAAAGAAAATTCTATCATAACTACAACTGTTACCACTATTGAGAGCAAGAGAGCAAAGAATATACAGAACAATTATTTAGGTACATAAATAATTGTCTTGCTAACAATTACCAACGGTCAATATTAGGAGCGTATGATGGAAAAAATCGAGTAATTTTTTTCTTGCTACTTTATGTATCATTGGATAGAGCACGAAAATTCGGTCAGATATATATTATTTTTAAATCGATTGGTTCATGTATCAAAGAAAAACAAAACAAGATTAGAGAGATATGAAAAACGATTCAAAATCTATAAAGAACGAGTTTTTCTCAAAGATTTTCAAGTATTTCCTTATTTACATTTCAATAATTTTTTAAAAGGATTATATTCTAATTCAGCATTAAAATGTGAGTTAAGAGATGCTATCTGAATGAGTTTAAAATAGAAGTGTTGATCAGATATGGATTTGTTGAATAAGAGCACTCAAGCACGGTTTTGTAATATTCAGTCAATTTTATATACCTGTCTGTCTAGATTTTTTTATTAAGAGATAGAATCAAATGTCATATCTCATTAGAATTGATGAATATTAACCTTCAGATGCATCCTGTTAATTTTTACATTTTGTTTTATGATTGAGAGAATCGCATTTTTTCGATTTTTTTTTCTACTGATACGTTAAAATAATGAAAAATATCCATGTATGTACTTAATTTTACTCTTCTCTTTTCATAATAAAAAAAAATCTAATAAAATATTTGAAATCAGCATAAAGAAATACAATCAATTATATATCTTTTAGCAAAGAAAAAATTCTTATGATACTATGCCGCCGGTACCTCCTCTCGAATACAATTTTTGAAAATTTGTCCTACGATCCTTCAAAGAAACGATTTCGATGGGAAAAATTTTTGATGAAAATAAATATGAATGATTGTAATTTTTATCTAGATTCTGAATGTTTTATCCGTTTTATTATATCACGAAATAATGAAGACAAAATTACGTAAATGTGTCCATATTTTTTCGCGATTTTAGTGTATCAGTAGGAAAAATCGAAAGAATACGATGTTTACAACGATAAAACAAAATATAAAAAACTAATTAGATACATTTGAAGGTTACCACTTATCAATTCTAATGAGATATGACATTTGATCTTATTTCTTAAGAGAAATAAAACTAGAACGGTTTATAAAATTGGCACCTTCACCCACCTAAATTCTACGACTATGTAAAATAATTAGAGGATATTATTCTAATAAAGTATTGCATGTGAACGATTAAAGAAATTGTGGATAGAGATAAGCGAAGAATATAGGTAAACAAATTTTCTATACACCGGATCGAATGGGATACAGCATAGATTTTACTCTTGAAATATTCATGAAGCCTTGTAGTCATAGTTTAGTCTATATCTACTGAAGTCTGATGTTTTCCCTTTGGTAAAAATATGGCCTTCATACTAATCATGGTTTTTAAATAGAAATAGTCTTATACGGTGTTTTTTACCTCACAGTGAAAAGCACTCCATAATCTAAGATCACAACTACAGTCCAAAAACAAACCGCTGAAATATGATAATCATTGTTTACTGTTTATAGTGGGGAGTCGACCGTTTTCGATGGTCGAAATGATCGTCTTGGAATTAATGAGCTGACAAACTTATTGATTGTTAAGAGGGATGGTGATGAAGTTAAAACAGTTCAATGCAATCAACGTTTGAGGTTTCGTTCATGTGATCATTCTTAGTATGATTTTTTTGTTGCAAGTTCAACTGTATTTCGTCGTTGTCGGTATGTACAAAGTCTCTACGATATACTATGTTAATGTTAATTGGTTGGTAGTAGCTTTTGGTTTCGGATTTTTCTTTGCCTTGAATGTTCAGTGAAGATTTGTTGATTGTGAGTTGACATTTATTGTTCGAAAACATGGATTTGGTTGAAGAGTTCTCTAATGAAATAAATATTTCTTTGTGAATGTATTGGAATAGATTTTGTGAGCAGACAAGAAATCCAGATATTAATAATAAATTATGATGATCAATAATAATTCAAAGTGAAATAACTATTTTTTTTTTATCAATGTCATAAAAATATAAAGAAAAGATAGGATTGAGTAAAGGATCGTCAAGATAGGGATTTAGTTGTGTTTTAATCACATTGTAAGAAAAACAGGTCGAATTTCAGAATACAATACACAACAGATTTGGTTGTTGAAATGTTTTATCAGTAGCATAAAATTTCTATTAAAAATAAGAGTTAGTTTATCTTTGTCTTTATAATTTTTCCTACTGGAATTGATGATAATTGTTACCCAACAAAAATAACTGACTTTACATCAATCAGAACGTCAAATGATTCATCAAGTATTTGAATCTTGTCTTTGCTGAATGAGCAAATTTCAGCTAGTATCGTGTATATATGAGAATAATCTGATTCTTAAATCTTTGAAATATGAATATATATATATTAGTTTCGACCGTTTTGTAATAGTACTCAAGGTAATGGTGGCCTTCAATATTCAATTAAATAGATATGCAAATAAAGATAATATGTTTTTTGCTTAGAGATAGTGTATCAATAATATACGACCTTGTCATATCTTTTATGTCTTGAGAAACATCACAAGAGGATTAAAAATAGAATTCTTCAACTCATTCTTGTTCTACACTAAAATGAAATATATATATATTTGAAAGTCATGATTTCATTCATCAAAGCTTCTTAATTTATCATTGTTTTTTGTTCTTAATGATTCAATAATCAATATAACAAATCATGAAAACTTTATTTTAATGTCTAGAATTTCTTCACACACTTCTGACGTTATTATTCATAATCAATAAATGGAAAGAAAAAGAATAGTTATATAAGGAAAATTTTCCTATATTCGATTTTTTTTTATCAAAGCCTGATGTTTCAAACAAATTTAACGAATGAGTAATGTTTTTAAATATGTGTTCGACACGAAACTAACTCATACTGGAAACTATGACTCTTTCACTCTAGCTTGTTGATAATTAATTAATTTAACAAGCAACAGTTAATGTATCCACGTCATTGCATCCATAATGTCTAAGTGATATTTTGAATAGCTCTGATTATTACTCGATTTCAAAAAACAAAAGACAAACCTTTTACGTACTATAGTTACCTCTGTTTTTATATTCTTCAACTATCTTCTCATCATAACTATTTCTGTTTTGATATCAGACATGTTTATCACATTTGTAATTCTGGTGCGTCACCCTGGATATCTCTGATTTGTATAGAGCAAGTAATTAAAACAGGAATTATTTGATATTTTAATTCATGCTTTCAATATTTGTGTGTAAAAAACAGAAATCGTTAACTAGTGACATCTTTTCTAAAGCTATTGTGTGAAACATAAATTAAAAGAAATTAAATATATTTTGTAGTTTTGAAAATTATATATAATAATTAAAATAAAATCAATAAAAATTGGTGGTACCCTTGAACGATCAAAGAGGTTGTTTTGGCTCCAAAGAAAAGATGGCTAGATAAATTTATGACGTTTAAATAGGCATCTTAATGTAAGGTTACCAATTCAAGTTACCTTTTTACCTTTCGAAATACAAATGTCATCTACTGAAGTTCCTTCTATATCTTCTACTTCTATTACAGTTTGTTTTTTGTATCCTTATACTTGACATAAAAAATAGATAGATGTATATAATTTATTTCTAGGAGCGATTACCCGCTATTCCTATTCGACCTAGAGGTACAAAGAAAAAAAAAATTCATATAATCGATTTTCCTAAAAAGAGATCTGTATGTTTAGTGTTTCATAT